TATGTATCTCTGGAATCTTAAAAAATTAATGAATATTGTCTTTAATTTATATCACAAATTTTCTTTTTAACTAGATTAAAATAGTCCAGAAATCAATTTGGTTTTATTATTTTTTCCTTTGTTAATTGAAAATAAGATAGCGCAATTGAAACTCTAGCATTGTTGATGGCCAAATAGATAAGATAATAGGTTAGTATTGTAATTTCTCTAGTGGATTCCGCTGTGATATGGGGAAGGTTTGTGAGATAGAAATTGTGATTTAATTTGATATATCGGAAGAAAATAATTTAAATTATTGAATTGCAATCCTCCCGTATACAGTAGCTCAAATAGCAAATCTTAAAAACATCAAAATGGTCTACCATGTCCGTATTTTCTAAGTATTAAACAATAGTTGCGATAACCAGTTAAATCCTCCTCATAATCATGTAACTTTTAAGGCCAATCCAGATTATAGCACATAAATACACGTCCTCTATATATATGTGAGTCTAAAAATAGCATTATGAATCTGTATGTAATGGATAAAAAGTAAAATAATTAAGCAGGTTACGTGTTATATTTGCATTATTGTGCTCAACTAGGATAATAATTAGTGTAAAACAGGATTGCTTGATAGTATGCGCTAACTGTTTCTCAATATTATATTGAGTTGCAGAGATACTTACACCTGCAACGTAAATATAGCTCATACATTTAGACTCGATTAGATATATTTTTACAAAATAGCGAAAAAATTGTAAGAAACATAAAAAAATATGCAGATTTCTCCAAATCCATTTGTTGATAATAAGTAGGTTCCCGCACCACAGAGTAGGTCTGGATTAGGAGCTAAATTCATCCAGAGAATTTTAAGATGATAAATCGATAATAGTTAAAATTTGCAAAAATGGCATTCGTATACACCACTATGCCAGCAAATTTCAATTTGCCTTGCCTCTCAAAGTGTCTTATAATTCATAATCGACTGCAATTTCGACCTCAAATGAATCTCATCAGCAAAGTGGAATCGAACCCAGGTAGGGACTTATATATTTTTGACATGATACTACAATACCACAATGACACAGACAACAATTGGTCACAAGGCAGAAGTAAATTTCATGGAAAACCAGACCTTTCCTATATTACATTCATAGTGGGATTTTCGAAAGACCAACATGTGTTTTGCAATTACATTTATATTCATTGTAAATGGGTTTTAAGTTCATGACTATATCTTGAATAAAGGTTCTAGTCACCTTATTAAGGACTGATAACTGAATTTTCCAAAAATTATGAGTAGGCTTCACTTTTACATTGACATTTACTTAGTGTTGCTTGTTAAAAGGTATTCTTATCCAGGACGAAGTGCAGTTTCGACTTCATCGTGTTCTTATCAACATTACTGGCAAAAATCGAACCCGGATAATACAGTCTGCAATACCGACATGTTACCACTACACCACGTTTGCGGAAGTTCCCCTGCGTCACAGAGCAGACGTAAATTTTAAAAATAGCAGGGCCTTTCGCATCAAGTTTATAGTGAAAAAATTCGATCTTGCTATAAAAACCGACTTATATCCATAGAAAGTAGGTTCTGGGACTATTATTAAACCTAGAAATGACAAAATACAAATATACTTCCTTAAAATTCGTTTATGCAATGAGACCCATAGGCACTCGTGGCAATGTGGCGTTGTATTCTCATGTCGAGATTATACGCTGCTGTACCTGTGTTCAATTCTCCCTATGACTGCTAATGAGAACTCTGCGAGGGGGAAACTGCAGTATATCCTGGATAAGAATAGATTTTGGGAAGCAAGGCCAAATTAACCTTAATGGAATTGTAAGGACTACGCATATGATTTCTGGCGCGTTTAACTCCCCAGTACCTACCTTATATGAATATATCTTCAATAAAAACTATATCATTGTGTGGAATGTAAACTATCAGTTCTTCATAATCTTATACGATTTCTAGTAATTACAGATCCTATCCATATTCTCAGCAATAAAGAACTAACAATATACAGCTAAAAGAGACTGTGGTTATAATTAAGTTCACATCATCTCTAGCTTTCTTGCCACGATGATAATTCTTGTTTGTGTATCGGAATCGTCTTTATTTTTGAAACGCAAGAAAGTAGTTGCAATTTAAATGAAAAGTTCACATGATCACGTTCAAGCTAGAAGGCAAAGTGATATATAGCAATATCAAAAGGAACACATAACATTGACAAATGCCTTGTTATTGCACAGGCGCCACAAAATGGGAATCTGAATTCAGCGTAACTGCATTTAGCAAATTAAGAAATCTATAAATTCGAAATAAGAAAACGCAAGAGTCCTTTCAAAATATTCATGATTGTGTAAGACCGATCTTGGAAAGGCTTTTGGTAAGTGGATTCTGTGGTGGAAATTTACAAAACCAAACTCCAATGAGGAAAGTAAATATAGACTTTACAATTTGATAAAAATAGGTTCGAATTATATTCTCTAGCATTTTAGGAAAATTGGCTACGACTTTATTTAAACATGTAGAACGTACTTGTTGGGTGAAATCTAGGGGATACCAGGTAAGCGTGAAAATATCATGATACATAAAATAAGTAGAAGATTCTTGTTGATTTATTGCTTGAAAATAACTCTAATAATCCACAGGCTAGCAGCGCTTATGATATTCATATTTCACAACTGTCCTGAAATCAAGTAGATCATTCATAATATAAGATCACAAAGTCCTGCTTCATGCTTTAAACTTCATCTTGGAACATGATCTCTCGAGTAGCAAGTTGCTCCGTTCCCCGATAAAGAAGGCTTCAGAGCGAGGATTCGACCCCTCTTAACGGGAAATCTGGATGCGCTCCCCAGCTCACTCCCTTTAGTGAGTATCAGAGATTCTCCAAATCGCCCGCCTTGTGGAAGCTTCAGAGCTGAAAGTTTTGAACGACTAATTTTGACCGATTCTGAAGGGTGTTCATTGGAGGATTGCATTTTGTCACTGTTTGCGTCAGAAGGAAAATTGTTGTCATTATTACCTAAAGCTAGATTTTGGCGGTTGTGTTTTCCAGTAATATTATCAACGGCATAGCCCTTAGAAGAATGTAAATCTCTTTTTGAATTTTGATAGTCTTTCTCTTGAGTTACAATATCTAGCTCAGATGTGTTAATGTTCCGGAGTTCAGGATTAGGCTGTTTAACAACAATCTAAGAGGACGAGTCGACAGCAATAGACTCATTCTTTCTATACCGTCTGGCATGTTGAGAAGCAGATGTGCTCTGACCAGTATTATTTTGAGGTGATTTGTTACGGCCCATTGTATTAGTTGACTCCGGTCTAGCCAGCGTCTTCCGTTCGCTCGTTTCAGTCGGCCGCCTCTCTGCAGCAAGTTCCTGCATTTGTGTCACGCTCACCTGTATGCCATCCTCTCTCTGGGTGTTGCTTCGGATGTTGGCGCAAGCCTTGTCAACTGCATAGCTGTGGTCTCTACCATCATAGGACTTAGATGGAATGATCAGGAGACCAGTCATGCCTGCAACCTGACGAGCTTGGCGCAACCATGTTGTAACTTGAAGCAAAGCCATGCTAATGAGTCTCTCCTGACCGACTAAGAGACGCATATTCCAGGAAAATTCGTCAGACATACGCATTAGCTTGCGCCAGTTCCCCTGACCCACTGACACACTATTTGCAGTCGTTGTTCTGGCCAAACTGTTTCTCGAGCCGGACAGTGAACTGTTGCCAAGGATCAGGCTATTGGGAGCCGTTCCGCTACCTGCGTTGACATTTGAATGGGTAATCTGACCATGCAAACAATCAAAAGGCGTTCCGCTGCGTAAACTGGCGCCATCATCTCGAGTATCATCACGTCCTCTACCCCATCGGCTGCCAGCCCGTCTGCGGCCGACAGTGACAATGGCGGAAGAAGTGGCTGCAGTTGGTGAAATGTTCGATAATGTGGCTGCTGATTTCGGTGAGAAGCCCCCAAGCCACTCGATTCCCAGCCCTGTGTCGTTAAGAGGAGCATTGCTGACAGCCAAGAGGCTCGTTGTGGCACCACTGGTGCGTCGCTTGCTCATAATGCGCGACAGACGGTCGGGGCTTCGACTTAGTCGGCTGTACCTTGATAATGAATGTCCATCGGCCTGGCTGACCATTATTCTCGGCTCGGCAGAGGTGGACTCTCCAGGACATAACTCACCATCAACACTGGAGCCTGACAAATAAAGGCGTGAGTAAGCTTCGGAGGCCATTCGTTGTACTTTACAGAGCTGATAGGATAAATCGGAAGGATAAAGTTATTAAAAAACATGATTACTCTTAATTTCTCATTGCATAAAACTTCTTATTACATAATTTTATTCTTCAATCTCTTGAGATAGCATTGTTGTGATGAAATTTATTTCACGAAAAAGCGCTTTGTAAACAGATTCTTAGATGATTTTTACATAAAGACGATGGATGATGATTATTTCAATGCTGTCATTTGATTTTAATATTGCTTTACGAGTGGCATACTCTGTGAGACAACTTTGGTTCAGGTAAGACCAGGGCAAGAATCTATTAATAATGTATTTTCGCATGATATAAAAGTCACCAAAATAAGGAACATTAACATAGCATGCCTTTTAGTTATCGCTAAAAGCCTAGGCACATATAAAGCATTCAGAGTGCATATCGTTTTATAAAAATAGAAACACATTGACATAAAAAAATCAATTTTCTGGCCACTAGTTATAAGATCATGCAGCTCAGTTTAATTGTTTCGTTCAGACTTGAGAGTTTCCAGCCCATTAACAATAAAAAAACAGGCGTTATTGCTTTTTATGGAACAAAAAATTAACTTGTGCTACCACCTTTATAAAAAAACTGGTTTTGTACCCTGCCAAAAACTATATGACAGCTTTACTAGGAATGTGTCGCCTTGGCGGAATGTTCCACTTTATGCATACATTTGGTGAATTTCGGAGTCATTTTGTATACTAATCCTCCTTAAAACTTATTTTGCTACATATTTATTCCATGCCACTCTGAAGTACATAATTCTTTTGTATGCATTCATTTAATCACAAAATTCATTTACGATAATTGAACTGAAATTATAAATATTTATGGTATCCGTTTAAAGAATATTAAAGATGGAGTATGCGAATTAACTTTCCATGAGGGTAGTAGTAAGCTGGATATAGCCTCTCACTACTGGAAAATGTGTGATTGGAGAAGTTAAGAAAAAAACTTCTTCGAAAATTGTCAATTCTACTTTCTTAGGATTATCTACTTATTTTAAAAGCCAATATGTATTCATCCAGAAGATAGTGTAAATATGAATTCCTGCAGGTAAAAATTCATATAAGAATTCATCGTTTATGGGAATGTTTTTGCATTTGGAGATGCGAGTTCCTCTTGATGATTACATCCATAAGGAATGCTTATGAAGACCCTCTGATGCTTCACACAAAGTGGCTCATTCGAGGCGAATTCTGCTTACTTTATTTTACTTCTGACCGTTGAATAATCTATTTTGATACGAAATTGGGTTTTAGGTTTAAAGATAGATGCATCTTGATAGTATCATCTGCCTAAATAATTACAATTTTAGATTCTATGTACTTGGTTATGGGACAAATAAAAGGATTACCAGAGAATTTATGTTAAAATACATATTAAAAATTACTGTAAGCCTTGAAAACTACCTATAGTGAAAAAAGGTTAGCCAAATAAAGGGAACAGTTCGCATTAATAATTAAAAAGTTTTATGCAATTTTTCCATTATGCTTGAATGTGATGCTCTATAATTACCAGTAGGAAAGCTTAATGTCTATATTTTTGCTCCGCCAAAAGCATGTGTTCTTTCATTTCTAACTAGTATGAAGTCTAGCCTTCACATATTTGGTAGTATCTGACATTTCAATAAATTCTTTTGAGGATAAACTAAGCTTATGCGCCAAATTCATAGAAGCACACCTTTTCTGATATTATCTTGAATATTTTACATACCAAATTAGGACTTTGATTGTTAAAAAATTAAAGTTCATATTTTAAATAAGGATTTAGTTCTTATAATCACTGTGATTTATCGTATATTCTCTTAGTATCCTGTCAGAAACTCAAAGGTAACATATTTAATATTATGCCGTTGTGGCGCAAAGTTAACTATATGCATTTGTTTGTTGATCTTCGCCAAATAGTCATTACTTTATCCTAGACGTTGCTCACCGCAGTCTATAATGTGCCATTTCGACATACGCCGCTGCTTACTCCCTCACAGTTGCTAAACTCTGAAGTCAATTGGAACTCCGCCTAAGAGGGATCGGGCTTATCTAGTGTCTATGCCTGAAGCAAGATTTAACAACGACCGTATCGCTGTGTTTGCGTCCATACGTTTGCCCGGTCTGCGGAAAGTCAATGCCCTTTTTGCTGCAAGTGCAACTTAAAGTCAATGCCGCATCTGTATAGTTTGCCTCTGCACGTCACATTATGATGTACTTTACTTAACTCCTACATTCAGATTTAGTTGGACCCTTGATTGCTATCCCCTTGATCATCTATCTTCATTATGGACATGTATAAAAATCAATTTACAGATTACAAACTCTATAGCACATACTTCTGTTTACTCTCCTCTATATCGGTTTTAGAACGGGTCCTGTGGTGCTAATAGTCAAAACGATATCGGATACATTTAATAGTTATACATGTAAATCATTTAAAATACCATAAAATTAAAATAAAATAAAATATTATCTGAATTAATCCAAGTCCTTTTTAGGTTTACTTAAGGCAGAAGGTTGATAAAGCTACGGATGTGATCTAAGGGATATAATTATTTTGTATTTTCCATGAAAATATACTGGTTCTAAAAATAAATAGGTGAAATACGTTAGAATTGGTTTAAACTTGACGAGACCCGTAATAAAGTAAAGAGTGACTACCAAATATCCACATATTCTTAATTGTAATCCTAAAAAAAACTCACCGAAATTGATACCTTTATATATTAACTAAACGTAAATTAAAAAAATAAAAAATAAATATAAATTGACTAATTAATGACTCTTGTATTGAAAAAGATTGAATTATGAATA